TGGCCCTGCCCCGGCTGCGCCCACGACTCCTAATCAATTAGCCCATTAACGAGCCCGTCGAGGAGTTAAGTAGGGAGGGGCTCTGCCACCCGCAGGGCTGCCGTCGCTACCTCGCCGCGGCTGATGGTATTAAACGCGCTCTCCTCAAACCCCGGGTGCGGCGCCGGCGGGGAGGGAACTGCACGGTCGCGGTGCGGCGCCTGGACACTGGTGGGGACTGATTTCAGAGTCTCCTCTCACCCTTGGCCGCCTTTGGGGCCGGGCTGCCGGGATCGGTTCTTTCTTGATAGATCCCAGGCGAGGCGGAGGCCGCAGACCCAGGAGGCCTGAGCCCCTTGGGGCCTCGCCTCACCTTGGTTTCCTTGGAGCTTCTGTAGACAACTGTGCGCGGGTCCCGCCCGGCTGATTCTAGATCCGGTAACAGCTGACCCGGGAATTAAAGAGGCGAGAGCCAGGCGCCCAGGGGTTTGTGAGGACAGGGAGCGAGGCAGGTTTATGGAGTGACCACCGCGTGCCCGGGCAGGAGTTGGGCACTTTGACCTCACAGGGCTCCTGCGAGGCAGGCGTTGCTCCCCCCAGTTTTAGGAATGAGGAGACGGAGACCGGGGCTCAGAAAGTTTAAGTGTCCTGTTCGAAGTCACCCAGCCCAGATGTGAGGCGACTTTGCCCAATTCTAAAACCAGGTCCCAACTCTAGAACCTGCCCTCGTCTCCGGCCCCTCTGTCTGGGAGCAAAGCGCCTCTGTTTGTGCAGCAATTCCATGTTCTCCAAAATTTGCCCAAGTGGGGAAAACAACAACCGAAAAGTCACTCGTGGAACCGGAGGGCGGGCGTGGCCTGTTCAACGAAGGTCTGCAAAGGACCTACTATGGGCGCCTTGTGCTTCTAGACTTTCGGGGGCTTTTCCATTCCTACCTAAGGTGACCCTGAAAACAGGAGCGGGGATGCTACGGAGAAGTTCATTCCACGTCTGCGGGCAGTGAAGCTCCGGCTGGGGCCGGGAGTGTCCAAGTTCTCGCGGCGTGTAAATGGTGCTGCTGGGACTCGACACAAGATCTAGGGCTCCCCCCGGCCCCCGCCAGGGCCCACCAACGATCGTGATCCCGCAGCCCCCGCGGGCCTGAGACGGGGGTGGGGTCCGTAGGCGAGGAAGGGCAGAAGTTGCCTGCTCGGCGGCTGCACAGCCAAGGCCCGGGAAGGGCGTCGGTCCCAGGGCGCATGCTCCTAGTCCCCCCCACTCTCCCCGCGGGCGCGGTGGTCTGGGGGCTCCCGCCCAGCTCGCGCGCCCGGACGGGAGGAGGCGG